TCTGTTTGACCACTATGATGACGTAATGCAACCCTTGGCAAAAGTAGTTACCTGACCAGCCAGAACCACACGCTTTGACAAAACATTACAAAGACGAGTGGATCTGGAGCTATGTCCTGTCTCCCTGTTTTCAGACGGCGTGATTGAAAAGCGGATTAACCAATCAGAGAGACTTAAGCTCTGTTTGCGTCAAAATCAAACACGGGTGCTTACATGCAAAAAATTAGGAAAACCAATGTAGATTGAGAATTTTTACTGAATCAACAATTGAAGCACCAAACTATTACTTATTCTTATATCTTAGGTAAAAGAAGCAATAGATTTTGTTCTAAATGATAAGAGAATTTTGAAATGGAGATATCTCCCATATTGGAAAGATACGTGGAACAAAATAGCAGTTGCGGTTGGATTTTCACGCTCTGTGGTCCGGTTTCAGTTCCTTCTGGATTCAAACCGAATGTAGATGGGACTGGCCGGTCAGGCAACAAAAATAGTGCTGGTAGATGAAAGTGGTGGCGATCGAGAAGGCCCAAGAAGGTTCTAGTGGAATAGAGGCTCATGTGCACGGCCACACTAAGCCAGGGCATCCATCATGATACAAGCAGAGTTCACGTACGACCAACTGTAACAGACCTGGTTATTGGGTGGTTTAGTCGTCAGGGAAGATGAGCTTAAAGCTGCACTGTGCAACTTTTCTGGTAGAGGGTCAGCTACCTGTTTGCCTCCACTGGGATGTTATTGCTTTGCCTGGAATGTTCCATGTATGACATTTAACATGTCCATCTTGCATTTATTCATTATGGGTGTTTCTGTTGCTCAAAAACACAATAATTACTTCTGTGAATAGGGGCGACACTCCACAGATCTGAACTGTAATGTAGCATAGGGTTGTAACCTGCATGTTTACATTGTGATAGATAGGTTTAATCTGTACTGTGGCATAGAGTAGTTGACGGGGGGGCAAAGTTTGTTATTGGGTTTTAGGGTCCTGGAATTGGAACCTCCGCATATTAATTACCGTATTTTTCAGACTATAAGGCACACCGGATTATAAGGCACATTAAGTGAAACAAACAGACGACATTTGAGACTGAGCCACGATCCATTGGGAGATAGTGGCATAAATCACCTGGTGTTGGCTCCCTTTCTTGGTGAATGTGCATTATGAATGTGAATGTGGCTGGATAAATAAAGTTTTTGTTTTTTGTTTTGTTTTTTTCCTACGAGGAGAACTCAAATATACATTGTGTAATAATGTGTTTAATGCAGCTTTGCTCACCACATTTGTTTTTGTTTTACAGTAACAAAGCTTAAAACCACATGGCTAATTTGGATAAACTGCAAGTGCTGAAATAACAGCTCGCTCCTTGTTGGCTGATTATCAGCTTCTGTCGGACTAAAGGACGTGACTCAGTGGAATATATGTGTTCTTTCTGTGACAGAGGATGTGCTAATGATGGTGAGTGGTGAGGTACTTCTATAGCATGTGAAACTTTTCACAGATTATACTACGTGAGGCTCCTGACTGTGGTAGCTTAATGCTTCGTCAATCCATCAACCAGTGTGGCTTCGTAGTTTACCAAAGTCGTATTAAAACATTTTGACCAATTTCTGAGCACCATGTACCACATAAAATTGGTTCGAGGTCAGTTAGCACAACCACTATTAATACATAAGGCTCACTAGATTATAAGACGTGCTGTTGATTTTTGAGAAAATTACAGGATTTTAAGTGCGCCATTTAGTCCAAAAAATACGGTAATATTAGAGGGGGACCCATGTGAGCCTTCTTGCCCCGGGACCCCCAAATTTCTGTCAACGGGCCTGCTGTGGAACATTCTAGACAAAGCAATAACATCTCCATGCAGACAAACAGGTGGCGGACTCTCCACTAGAAATAGTACACAGTGCACTTTTAAAATAGCACACTTCAGGAGGGACCAAATCTGCCTTGAGGCTGAGATGAAGCTGGGAGGTTAGAAGGGCTACCTGGGCTTTGTTTAGCAGAGCGGGTCAGGGAAGTGGAGACAGTGTTAGGGACCAGCTAATGCATGAAGCTCCTATCTCCAGCACTCATTCATGTTCGGACCACACTGGTGTTTTTTGGAGAGGATGGCTAGGCTTAAGTGTGTCCTGCATATGCATATGTATATATACAATAATACGATCTACATTAGGTGTTTGGTTCGACTGGAAAACTCACTTCTTGTTGTTGTGACCCACGTATCGAACTGCTGCAATAATGAAGGCTATGACTGCCACTCCTCCAATGGTACCCACTATAACAGCCATCAGGTACTTCTCTGGAAATAACAAAAAACAATATTTGAAATTAAACTGGATAGGAAAATGCAAATGTGGATAATGACCATGACTATATAACTAGAAATAATTGGACTAAATTTGACTCGTGTGAGGGTTAAGTTAGAATGCTGTTACCTCATCAAAAACATACCTGAAGTTGTGTTTTATTTCATTCACATTCACATTTCTTATTTTATTCATTCTTGTAAGTGGAATAATACCAATCCTAAAATCTTTCAATTCAATTCAAACTAAAATATTGTTTTAAATCATTAGAAAAGCTTCCAAAAAAGCATGCTAACTACATGTTATCAATTTATAAAGAACAAAAATTTTCAATCTGAATCATTTAATTATCCCTATGTCTTGTGATCTTTGTGTATATTGTTTTCTTTTATATATGTTTATATGAATGTGTATGTATATATGCAATAAGTTTAATGAAAAAACGAATTGTTTTGTTTCATTTGCACATTTGAGTAATTTTTTAGTATTAGTCTGTCCACATCCCGTGCATCTGCTCTGTTCCACCTTGTGATGTCATGAAGTGGTAGTTTTCAAGTTAACAGCTACATTTAATTTTGGTCCAATAGCGATAGAAAGAGAGCAATTCCAGGGCTGAAATCAATCAAATGATTCTAATGAAGGTCTGTGTAGTTTAAAAACACAGTGGAGCATTTTCTGTAATAATACATGACATCACAAGGTGGAACAGAGTGTTCTCTGTTTTCCTAAATATGCAGAGTTTGTGTTAAACATGTGTGACTCAGACGAAACACAACTTAAGGTACATTTATGATGAGGAACAACATTATAACATAGACCAGAAAATCTTAATTTGGGCCTTTTAAATCTTCTTTTCAAAACAGCCAGTCATGCTGCATTCCCGTTGAATAAAATGATTCTAACACGCAGAGGCTTGAATGCATGCGTTCTCTCTGCGTTCCATTGTCAAAAGGTATAATTTGGTGACATCTAGTGGCTGACTTTGACATTACAACAACTAAGTTCAATTTTTTTTTTTCTTCCTCCAGGTGGAATTAGTGAGGTTCTTTAAAATAAATACTACAGTGAGGATCTCACAGGTATTTTTTTATTTTTGTTTTAGCATCCATCATTTTTGTGATATTAAATGTCATTTAATTGAGCCACATTTGTTTTGTTTTGTTTTTGTTAGTTTTATTTTTGTGATCTATTTTTGTGATCTATGTTATAATTTTTCCTAATCAGTACATTATAAAAGTGAAAAAATGCATAGCACACTCTGATGGCTTAAGTCCAAAAGCTTTTTATTTTTTAATAAAATTCTGGCAAAAAAAAAAAAAAAATTGTCAGATATTCTTCTTGCATTGGACCACAGTACCACAGTTTGCCATTCCTTGCATTTGCACCTCTACAAGAATGTTGTTGTGTGTTTTCTGTTTCACTTGATCCTAATCAATACATGCCTGGATTTTTGTTGTGTTTCATTCAAATATGCTTGACATACAAACCCTGAATAATTAGGCTGAGTTCTTAAACTGAAAACACTGTTCCACCTTGTGATGTCATGCAGTACAAGAAGGACTCCACTCACTCACCTTCACTAGAATCATCTGGATGATTTCAGACCTGGAATTGGCAAGGTCTACAGGATTAAAGGTAAAAGGAAGCTTTTAACTTGAAAACTATCACCACATGGCATCATAAGATGGAAAAGAGCATTTTAATAAATAATAATAAAGGATTACTCAAACATGTGTGAATGGAACAAACTGTTAGCCTCATGAGCTTCATTTGACTGGAGCTGAACGCTATGGATGACGTCACACTCCACTTGAAATCCATTTGTTTATGCAGTTTATTGTTCACCCCCAGCATGACGTCACTGCAAAGTCTGAATTACATATACATTTATCTGTGTGTTACGTGTCATTGTAACAGACTCACTCTCCTGCTGTAGCTCCAGGAGGATGCTCTCTCGTCCGTAGGCGTTGGAGAAGCTGCAGTGAACATTGACAGCGGGCCCATTGTTGTCACTCCTCTCCCCCTTCTCCCTGAGCTTGATCATGGCGGTGGAGGTCTGTCCGTCCGTGCGTGTAGTAGTTGTAGCGGTTGTCTGTCTCATTGATGGTGACGTTGAGGTCGGGCAGGTAGAACTCTATGGTGGGCTCGGGGTTCCCTGTGGCTATACACACGCACTGCACTCCCTCCCTCACCACGGTGCACTTGGACTCTTCCAGAAGGACTGGGGCATCTGGGGAGGGAAGAGATGAAGAGGTCCTATATTAGGCAAAATGAACTAAGGTGTATTGTTTTCTAGTGGAGAGTCCGCCAAATACTTTTCTTGTGGAGATGTTAGCGTTTTGTCTGGAATGGTATGGTATGGTGTTAAACTTTTCTATCTTCATGGAGACCAAACCAGACCAAGTTACAGGCCAGATCTGTGGAAAGGCAACCCCGCTCACAGTCAGGATGCTTGTTTTTGTAAGTATTTTTGAGCTATAAAACCACCTATAATGTAATACATGTAAGATAGAGCTGTTTAATATCATACTGTGGAACATTTCAGGAAGACATCTCCATAGAAACAAGCAGGTGATGGACCCTCCACCAGAAAAGTTACACCTTTAAGCCATGTTCGAATCTTGTTCATCAAAACATACCTGGAGTTGTGTTTTGTTTCACTCACACATGTTTGAGTAACTCTTTGTTATTAGTCTGTCTACATCTCCAAAGCTCAAAATGTTCTGTTCCACCTTGTGACGTCATGTAGTGGTAGTTTTCAAGTTAAAGGCTACCTTTCCTATTGAATGTGTATGGAGTTTAAAAACATACTGGAGCTCTTCATATATTATCACATGACGTCTCAAGATGGAACTGTGTGTTTAAGAGAAGAATTCAGCTTAAATATGCAGAGTTTGTGTGTTAAACATGTGTGAATGAAACAAAACACAACTTGAGGTCTGTTTGTGATGAGGAAACATTGTAACATAGAACAGAAATATGTGAACATGGGCCCTTTAAGTGGGACTAAACTCCTCCCTCAAGTACATTGCAAATGCAAATACAGCTGCTGTGACTGATCTATCCACTTTTCAATCTCCGCCCCTGCAGTCAGGTGGTTGGAATCAGAAATACCTAGTTGTGATCAGTGCAGTTCTGTGTGATGTCATGTAGTACCTGAACTTGTACCACTGACCACTGGAGGGAACTCGCACTCAGTTTTGATTGTTTTTGACGACAAAGCTGCAAATGGACCTAGTTTGAATTAAAATGGCCAAAAAGGACTGGGAGACAGTAGTCTAATACTAATACTATTAAAACACCATATGTACAGTTTAGCAAAAGAAAAAACAAACAGTGATTTACTGTTTTGTTCCAAGGGTTTAAGAATCACGTCTGCCATCAGGGAGTTTGTCTCAACTGTTTGCTGTGATTTGTTTTCATTAAAAAATGAAATCCACCAGTTTGCTGAAGCCAACATCCAACAGAATATCAAAATGATAAAACTAATTTCATTATTGTGCATTGTGCAAATGGGAGTTGTAAAGAGCATAAAGAGATTACAATGCTGCAACTATAATCAAAGAACACACTGTAGTGTCTGATGATCTCTCATTGTAAGAGGTAAAAAGCTGCGCACAGAGAAAAATCCAATTTCTAATTCAAATGATAATTGACCATTAGAGATGACAGAACCTTGATAATACCAGCTCTTTGCTACATGGGGGATGCTCCTGTCATATTCTGTATAACTCTGTGGAGCACAGACTGCTATCAATGTTTTGATGTTATTTCTGAACCACACTCACACTCCACGGTGATGTTGAGGGAGGAGCTGGCCCGGCCGTGCTCGTTCTCAGCCAGACAGCGGTAGTGTCCATCGGCCTGGGGGCTGATCTCCTTCAGCTCCAGCACAGAGAGCTCATCTGCTGTGATGGTGCCCACCAGCTCCCCATCTTTCAGCCAGGTGAGGGTAGGGGCAGGGCTCCCCTGGGTGCTACAGTGAAGGGACAGAGAAGTTCCTTCCACCACCGTCATGGACTCATTCACCACAGGCTCTCGAGGAGGATCTGTGAGAAAAACACAGATGTATGTAAATAAATAAATAAAACATATTATTTGAACATATTTGGTTTCCATACATGTCATCTGTTTTCCCTTTATGTCAAAGGAATAAGAGTCTGCAGAATATCTATGGAGCTGTACATTTCCATCGAAATTAGATTTTCACAATAATAATAATAATAATAGTATTCAAAGCTTTGAGAGTGGGTTTATAGAGATTTAAGAAAGATTCTGATGCATTATTATCTGAACATTATGCTGGCACAAATATTGCGACCTTTTAGCTTGTGTTCTGCTACATCCTACACACTCGTTATTCTCAGAGAAAAAAAAGAGCTCTTAGCTTAAACCAGTGATTAGGATTTTTGTTTTCTTAGAAATGTAGAAATGACATGCATTTCCATCAGGCAGATGTGGTTAGAAACACGTCTACATTCTGTTTTTTATTAATTCATGTATGTGCTGATAAGATTTTCAATATTTGTATTTGATTAAACTACATTTTGCAAGAAAATACTGATAAACATATGACCAAAAAAAATCACGTTTAATTGAAAAGGTTTGAGATTATGAGAAAAAGAAGAATTTGGAAACCAGTTTGTAAATAAATGATTAAGAATAGACAGAAGTTGACGTTCACTGATATAATAGGACATTTTTTTGTCTAGATTGGACAATGTCTTTAGTTTCTAATGTGTTGAGAGCTAAACCTGAAAATGAACAAAGCAGTTTTGCCAGTAGTGTCTGCCCTTAAAGTTGGAGCTTCAGTTGGTATTCTTGTCAGTTTCTGGGAGTTTAAAGATTTATAGCTCTGCTGGTCCATCACAGGATCCCCAGTACTTTCTGTATTTCCCAGAACAATTTTTGTGTTTTTGTTTCAAATCCACAACATGATTTATTGTTGAAGAGAAGACGGTAACTGTGTCTGGAGCTAGTGGAGCTTCTTCTGTCCGTGTCTCTCATCCTAAGCACAAACAACTTCAGAGAAATACTGGAAGAACTTCAGTGAGTGTGAGAACAAGGGAAAAGTGCTATACAGTTACTTTAATACCATGTAATAACACCAAGTGTCATTTGGTAGAGCTTTGAAATTAACCAAATTTTAGTTGAATTTTTGTTGTTTTCCTGATGAGGTCCTAGTACAGAATGTTGTGTCCTAATAAACCTTTATCACAACGGCCAGAAGTGACGCGTTGTAGGGTTTGTGGAACTTCCAGTTTATGGTTTTCTGTGGCAAAATGTCTGTGGAAAAGTCTCGCGTATTCTCCACCAGCTAAATAAATCTGCTAGCCAGGTTGGCACCACCTAGTGCTTTCGCTCAATTTCATTTCTCTCCAGCGACTAGGTCAGGAATCGAAATACACTAGATGGTTCACAAAAACGTGAAAGTGTAAGTACGCACACAAGGCAGTCAGCGAAGAGCTGTACATTCTGTTTCGGCAGTGATTCCTGAGATCAAGAATTTAAAGCCAATCCAGCGATCCGGTTCCCAATTTTGGCCTCACCATTTTTGATTTACTTTATTTAATATTTGTGATGTAATTGTATGATCGCTTTTTAGGACTAGAGTTTCTCACAAATGTAACTTGCCAGTATTTCTTTTACTTATTTTTTTATCCAATCCAAAATAAAAATAAAAAAAATCAAAGAAAACATTAAAAAAAATCTCACAAGATCATTTTCAGTGTGCGTGCACAATCTTTTCTTCAATTTTCTCACGAAATTTTGTGTAATAAACTAAACTAAAAACTCCCTTGGTGTCTTAGATCTTTGCTGCAAATGTTTTCACTGTGAATTTTACTATCTGAATTTTGACTTTGAGAGTTTGGAAAATGTTTGTGCTGAATATTAAAACCTCACTCGCATAGTTAAATCAGAGCACCGGATCTTGGGGAACTGAGCTTTCACCATCACTGCCCCCACCCTCTGGAACTATCTCGCTCTTCACATCAGGAACTCAGCCTCAATAAATATCTTCAAAAAAACAACTCTAAACTCACCTTCTCCACAAAGCCTATCCTCACTACATCATTGTGTTACATTATTGTGAAGCATCTTTGAGTTACTGTGAAAAGTGTTGTTGGAAGAGTTGGAAAAATTCAAATAGAGAAATCTCAGCAGCATTTAAAATTCAAAATCTGATGAAACAATTCATCTTCATATACTGCCCCATCCTATCAGGTATAGACTAATCTAAAGACATACTTTTTGCATTGACTTTTAATCCAATGTAGATCATTTAACTTTAAATGTGCACTATCTAACTTTTTGGTCATCTCGTTCATAGAGGTGGGCAAAAATATCAATAGATCATATCGTTTAATGAGATGATACAGTATCGATATCGTGACCTGCTGTATTGATATATCTCTAAGAGTATTTTTTGGTATATGTTACTAAATTATTTTGTTGCAGCGCTACAGTTTTGTTGCTCGTTTATGCAACATATTTGACATTTTCACTGTTTTTATGTCTGTGTTTCATATTCACTTTGCACAAGAAGTGGTTCAACAAAGACTTTTAGTATCACATTGATCTGAAATATCATATCGAACTGAAAGTGCACTGTATCGAGGTTTGTATCGTATTGGCACTTCTTGATGATACCCAGCCCTACTGGTTGATTCTATGGATATGTCATTGCTCTGCCTGGAATGTTCCACAGTCTGACATTAAACAGCTCTACCTTACATTCATTTGATTACAGGTGGTTTTACAGCTCAAAAATACCTAGAAAAACTGTGAGCGGGGTTGCCTGCCCACAGATCTGACCTGTAATTTGGTCTGGTTGGGCCTCCATGAAGATAGAAAGGTTTAACGCCATACTGTGAAACATTACAGACAAAGCAATAACATCTCCATGGAGATAGGCAGAGGTGGGACCAAGTTGATGTTTTGCAAGTCTCAAGTAAGTCTCAAGTCTTTGACCTCAAGTCCGAGTCAAGTCCCAAATCAAATACAGGCAAGTCCAAGTTGAGTCTTGAGTCACTAGCCCATAAGTCCAAGTCAAGTCCAAGTCGTCTGCTTTGAGGTTCAAGTCATTTCAAGTCTTTAAACCAAAGTACTAAATATAGCTTAGATTTTTGCAATTTATATAATTTTTTAAGATAAATTGTCTTTATAAACTCATAGTATATTTATATATGAGTATTTATAGAGTATATAAGAGTTGTAGAAATTTTCCTTTTTCCTTTTTAAATGTCTTGACAAGATCTTAGTGTGAATCATTATGGTCAGAATAGAAAGAATTCAGATTTAAAAGTGCTTCTCAAATCTTCTGAAGTCACAGGCCTCAAGTCAGAGTCAAATCCCAAGTCTATGACCTTCAAGTCCAAGTCGAGTCCCAAGTCTTAGTCCATTTTATCAAGTCAAGTCTCAAGTCCTAAAAATAGTGACTCAAATCTGACTTGAGTCCAAGTCACAACTTGCAAGTCTCCACCTCTGGAGACAAGCATTTGAGAAACCCTCCACCAGAAAAGTTACACAATGCACCTTTAATATTTGGTGCATTTTTACAATCGTGTTGTCTTATGTATACACTTACCTGTACAGCACCTGGTCAACTGTGGTTGTGTTGACATTGAAATTGACAATGGCTGAGTCTGATTATCTACCCTAGTCCCTAACTCCTCATTCACTCCATAGGCCCAGACGTTAGTGGACTCATTGTCAGAGAGGTTCGGACACACACATCACTACTTTTGGGCAATGTGGAATCGATTTTTTAACAGCTTGAGCTCAGGTAAGTGATTAAACCTAAGAGTTTTATTCAGAATCAGGATCAACAGAGCCATAAACCAGAACTTTTATCTGCTTCATTCAGTCGCTGTTGTTTTCCTGATTCTCTCAATGTATTGTGATCTGTATTGACCGCTCAGTGATCACGATGCACACTACTTTTCAAGGTGCATCGTGAGAAATTTTGAGTGCATTACTTTTTCACCAGCTGGACATTTGGAAACCACTAAAATGACGTGACCCCAAAATAGTGCCCTAAATAGGAAATAGTGTGAACATCCAGACACATAGATAGATATCCTCCCAAACGGAGCAGCACTTACACTTGACGGCCAGGTAGAGGGAGGTGTTCATGATACCAAATCCATTGTCTCCCACACAGGTGTAGATGCCCTCCTCTGCGGGGGTCAAGTCCTCCAGAGACAGGGACAGGTTGGACGCCGTGTCCCAGAGCAGCTCTTTGTCCCCGAAGAGCCAGGAGATGCGAGGGGCCGGGTTACTGTCCACCTCACAGTGCAGCGCCACAGAACTGCCCTCCATCACCTCCGAGGACACGTTCACCCACACCGAGCGAGGGGCATCTGCAACCAGCACCAGAGACGTCAAAGAATGCATCATGCAAACTCCACTTTATCGAGACAAGATTACAAATTCAGTAGGGCTGCACATTTAATTCTAATCAAACTGAAATTGCAGTTTGAATGGATGTAATTAGCAAGTAGCAAAGGTAAGATGTTGAAAGTAACAGTATGTAGCTTGTGCTCTTACAGTTTTTTTTAAATTACCTATAATCACAACTGAACCTTGTTTGCCAGTGCCTAAATCTGCAGTGGACACATGCAAGTTTTTCTTTCTCTAATGGAGCTCAACAGTGACTGCCAGCTCGGGTCCTGAAAGTAAATTTTTCATCAATTTCAAATGTTAAGAGTTCAAAAACACCGCAGAGTCTAATCAGCTACTTTCTAACTAATATCCATAACGCAGATGTTTTAAGAACAAAAAGCACATTTAAAACTAAAGATTTACATTACAGTTTATACAATTTTAAATAAATGTACTGGTCTTGTGGTCATTAGTTTCCACATAGCTGATTAGCCCTGAGGAAGCTTAGCCAGGCTGGCGCCACCTGGTGCCTCCGTTCAATTTAATTTCTCTCCAGCGACAAGGTCAGGAATCAGAATACAGTAGACGGTCAGTTTGCAATAACCCCCGAAGTTGTAGACCGCATACTGGCCAATCACTGAAGAATTATTGTGAAGCCATTGCCTGGGTCCCTTTTTATGGTAAAGCACAACAGTAAACAAAGCGGTCGAGATGGATGTAGATGAAGCCATACATTCTGTGTTGGCAACGATTCCCGAGATCAAGGATTTAAAGCCAGATCAAAGAGAATGATTGGTAAATTTTATCAAGGGGAAAGACGTTATTGCAATTCTTCCTACGGGATTTGGGAAAAGGTTAATATACCAGTTAACTCTGTTAGCGACACATTACATATGTTACTATTAAATAGCAGCGATTTGTTAAATAAAAAAGTACCTGCCTACCGTTGATCAAACGGTTTCCACGAAATGAAACCGGTTGATGAATCAGGATAGAGTAAGCTTGCATACTTTTAATATTATTTTCGGAAAGTCTAGGTGGTCACTGTTGAGCTCCATCGGGACAGCATAAATCTGCAGTGGTAGATATTTAGATGGTTACAAATCACAGTTAAATATTTTTCCCAAATTGTTCAGCCCTAAAATTAAGTGCCACTTTACTTCAAATGCATGAGACTTTCTAAGCCAGAGTACAAGGTCCTTAGACAATAGGTTGCAGTCACAGTTATTTTTTTATAATGAAGGTGCAGTTGCTTAATTTACCTAGATATGTGTGAGCAACTAAATATTTCTTAAGAAAAATTATATTATTACATGGTTAAAAGCTAAAAAATATATATTTCGTACAAATGGGCAATCCACTTATTTCTTATTTGCATTTTTTTCCACTGTTTCTCATCATTTTTTGCAGAGGTGTATTTCAGTTTTAGTTCTTCCCTCCCACACTCACACTTGACGTCCAGAGAGATGAGCCTCTCGTACACCAGGGTGGTGTTGGGGTAGGTGACCCTGCAACCCAGCAGCTGCCCGTTGTGCATGGGTCTGGGGGTAAAGGTCAGCGTGTTGGACAGTACAGCTGAGTTGCCCTCCTCCAGGTACTCGGGGCTGAAGGAGGGGTCGGGCAGGTAGTCTGTGTACAGCCACTCAATCTCAGGGGTCATATCGGGGCAGTTATCTGGAGCGTAGCACGTCAGCTCCAGACTCTCATCGCTAACAATCTCCTCTGGGACGTCAATGTTGGGCTGATCTGCAGGAAAACAACACAGTAGTATTCCACGTACACTGTACTGCATACAACCTGGTAATGCATGATCTCCCTGTAAATGTGAAAGCTTGTGGATGGGTCCAGGCCATGGACTCTATATATAAATGGACATGACTAAGCCGACGCTGTTTTTAATTAACTTTACACTGAAAAAATTGTCACTCCTCTCTCTGTAACTGCTGCAGGGAGCCTCGTCATTTTGGTCTTAAAATGTTTGTACCAGCCCGGTCTACATGATCCTGGTGTATTTATTTAGCTATTTCCATAAATAAATTCCTATAACCATTCGAATCGTGAGCTTCATTTGACTGGAGCTGAACAGTGAACTGTGCTCAGCACAAATGAATGTGTGGTTGTATTTTCAATGTAATGCTATCACGATTTAAAACTGATAGTGTCTATAATGTTTCTTTTAACTGCGCGGGGAGATGACGTTCGATTAGTTTCTTTCCGTTGTCACGCAACGCTCATAAGGGAGAACAAGACAAGACGGCAAGACCAGCCACAAGGGAGTTGGGCCCCTCCAAAAAGATACTAGTACTTCAGCAATGTGCAGCATTTTGGCTTCAGGCACACATTTGTTTACATTTTCCAGAAACTAAACTTAAAACCACATGGCTCATTTGCAAAATTGCTATTAGCGCTCTTTGTGTGGCTGATGCGTCAGCTTCTGTTGGACTAAAGACACGACTCAGTGGATTATATGTGTTCTCTCTGTGAGAGAGGATGCTGACGGTGAGTCTGTATAACAATTTGGATACTGCCCAACCCTAGGATCTACCTCTGACCGGAGGCTTGAGAAGGAGTTGGATATCTGTGTATTTCCAAGATAAGTTTACCACAACATGCGTTTACATTTACTTTTACTTACATTTGCCTATTGAAGAAACAACATTCTTGGGTATATCTGTGAGCATCTTGCTTAGTTAAAGTGCTTATACCTGATCTTAATTGTTCCTGGTTGAGATGAATTGTCTTTATATCATGCCTTGTATTGTAAATGTAGATAACTGAGAATAAATCAGTAACATCATCAAGAATCATGGGAAACATCTGCCTGACACTATGCCAGACAGTCAATTCTCTGTTATGGTGCATTTTCAAGAGCGAGAATACAATTTTAGGAGGCTGGAGATGGATGAGGCCCATCTGGAAACAACTGCACGAGACTAGACATACACATGGTAGAAAGGAATAAGTGGGCAGAGCTATTGTTCAAACTTAAACAGGTTCTTCACTGAAGGTTAAAAATCAGGTACAGGCCCTTTAAAGTCCTATATTACGCAAAATTGACTTATAACCAAAATGTTACAAAGCGCACCTTTATCATCTCATACGAAAAAAGCAACAAGTTAACATTGCAAAAGGACCTACCCAAAACTTTGAGCTCTGAAAAGTCTGGATACGTGTACATGTTGGCTCCTCCGAGGTCTGCGCGGAAGTAGTATCGGCCTGAGTGCTCGGAGCCCACATTATTGATAAGCAGAGTGCAGTTTCTCTGGTGCAGATCTCCCAGCAGTTTGGTGCGCCCTTTGTAGCTCTCGTGTACAACGTCTGTGCGAGATTTGTAGACTACGGGAGGGAAGAGCTGAGGGTAGGGCTGCCCAAAGTACCAGATGCCATGGATGCCTCGGTACGGCCTGATGCCCGCTGGGTACATGAAGGTGCAGGGGATCACCACACAGGAGTTAGTCATGGCCGAGATGTCACGAGGTAACCAGACATTCCACTGGCAACTGGCATCTGCAACACAATCAGCTCAAGTCAGACTCACGTACAGGATGGAGATGGTCAAACTATGCTTCTTCTGCTTAGTACTCGAGAGAAAACGAGATGCCAGCTCTGGTCAGAATATATTGTAATTGTGTCCTTGAGCAAGACAAGATTGGCACTACCAGTCAAAAGTTTGGACACACTTTTTTTACTTATGTTTCATGACTGTTTACATTGTAGATTCTCTCTGATCTGAAGGCATCAAAACTATGAATGGACACATATGGCGTGTAATAAACAAAAGGTAAACTAAAAATAATTCAGAATAGTTTTACCTTTACCCCTGTTTGATCACTACTTTTCATTCTTGGCATTTCTTGACCCTGACACCTTCAAGTGAGACAACTTTCTCCGCGGGCTCGGCGTTCTCCCTCTCACTCTCAAGTCCAAGATTATCCCTGGTTTAGTCCTGGTTTAGACCTGGTTTAGACATGGTTTAATCCTGTTTTAGTCCTGGTTTAGATATGGTTTAGTTCTGGTGTAATCCTAGTTTAGACTTTGTTAAGACCTGGTTTTGTCCTGGTTCAGTTCTGGTTTACTCCTAGTTTAGACCTGGTTTAGCCCTGGTTTAGTCCTGTTTTAGTCCTGGTTTAGACTTGGTTTAGACCTGTGTTAGTCCTGGTTCAGTCCTTGTTTACTCCTGGTTCAATCCTGGTTCAGTTCTGGTTTACTCCTGGTTCAATCCTGGTTCAGTTCTGGTTTACTCCTGGTTTAGACCTGTTTTAGACCTGTTTTAGTCCTGGTGTAGTCCTGATGTAGTCCTGGTTTAGACTTGGTTTAGACCTATTTTATTCCTGTTTGAATCGTAGTTCAGTTCTTGTTCAGTCCTGGTTCAATCCTGGTTCAGTCCTGGTTTACTCCTGGTTTAGACCTGGTTTGGTCTTGTTTTAGTCCTGTTTTAATCCTGGTGTAGTCCTGATATAGTCCTGGTTTAGACTTGGTTTAGACCTGGTTTAGTCCTATTTTAGTTCTGGTTCAAGTGTTGTAGTCTATGACTTATGTCCTGTAGGTGATTATGAACGGTGTTATTGTTAATAACATGATTCTGCAAGCATTTTGAGTAAAAAAAAAAAATCTAATATTACAGACTTTTACTGGGCTGGCACCTTTATGTTCATACTGAAAGTGAGGGTTTTTTGTTTTGTTTTTTTTAATAAACAAACAATCTTTATGACACCTTTGTGTATTTCAGCATGTCAACTTGTATATATGGCTTTTGGGGTGGAGGTGGACGGGATTCATCACACCGATGACGTCACGAATCACGTACCCACACTTAAAAAAAAAAACCTTAGAGCCTTAGATGGGGTACAGTTAGATATCTATAAAACATAATCATTACTGTATTTTTCGGACTATAAGTCACACTTTTTTCTTGGTTTGGGTGGTCCTGCGACTTATACTCCAGTGCAACTTATGTATTAAAATTTTCACACTGACAGCCCCGAGAGGGCGCTCTAGGCTTGCGTGTCAGTATCTGCTGCTCCTATTACTTCTGTACCTCTGTCACTTGGCTCTATTGCTCATGTCTCCTGCAGAAAGAGCAGCTGTCTTGCTGCAAGTAGGGAAATATTCATCTGAAAACGGAAATCGAGCAGCAGAAAGAAAGTCTGGAGTGAGCAAGAAACTTGTGAGGGACTGTTGGAAAGCGGGGATGGAGAACACAGCTTCAAGGCAAACGGGCAGGGGCGCCATCCAACTTTCCTGAAATCAGTGAATGGATTGACAAAGCCTGAACTTCAGTGACAACCAAAACCATCCTGTCGGGATTCAGAAAGACCAGAATAGTTCTAACTGGAACTGATGCTCAGTGGCGCTCTGTTTAACTCATGGATCTATGGAGGTCACGGAGTTGCTCAGAAATGACATTGAGGATGAAGAATTCAATGGATTTAGTGATTTGGAGTGAGATGGAGAGTTTGGTAAACTTATGTTCTGTTGTTTCTGCTATATTTATCTGAAGAACTGCTAATATGTTATGTTAATGCCTATTCAGCTTGTTGTTTATTCTATTGTTATTACTACAACTTGCCTTTCAAGATGAAATGTTGATTTCTGGTCTCTGATTTTATAAAATAAATTTCCCCCAAAAAGTGCGACTTATAGTCCGATGCGACTTATATATGTTTTTTTCTTCTTCATTATGTATTTTTTGGCTGGTGCAACTTATAGTCCAGAGAGACTTATAGTCTGAAAAATACAGTAATCAAATTTGAGTTATTTAGCACAATAGGTATAGTTCCTTGGCGATGTACTTAGACGGGGGTAGAGAGCTACTGGTCGCTCCCGTAAAGTTAAACAAAATCTTGGACTGGTAGTTTATATATAATTCTGCTGTGGCTCCTGAAATAGTGTGGGAGTGACTGAATACAGCCACACGCAGCAGTCTAAAGAGAGTCTGTATTCACCTCTTATGACGAGCAGCAGTGGGACGAGCAGCTCCAAACACCACATGGTCCCTCTCAGTGTTGCACCATAGACGTCTGTAAAAGCACACATCCTGTCAAAAACAACACGTCCACTTCACAGGAAAAAGCCAGTGTTCCTCAGGTCATATTTACAGCACCATGACTCACTACTGCCTCTGTCAGTCTGCTCTCATCTGACGGCGCACCAGCTTTGAAAACCAGCAGCCTTTTATATCATGTTAAAGGTGCACTGTGTAACTTTATGGTTGGGGGTCTGTTACCTGCTTGTTTCTGTGGATATGGAATTACTCTGCCTGGAATGTTCCACAGTATGACATTAAACAGCTCTACCTTACATTTATTCAGTTACAGCTGGTTTTAATATACCTCAAAAATATCAAGAAAAGATACGGAGAATGAAACGGTCCATGTACCATTCATTCTTTTGAATTTCAATTAAGAATGAAAAACAATAAAATGAGAAAACAGCTGGTTATTTCATTATTCCACTTTACTGTCCAAAAAATAAATAATAAAAAGATTAATCTCTGTTTCCAATATTTAATATTTAAGTTTATTTCAAATAACACCAATCAAAAAACCGTCTCGGTGCCTATTTTAATTTGGATATTTTATTCTCTCTGGTTTATTTGCCCTGGAAGTTCTGCTACTAGAAGGACTTACTTGAAAAATTGTTGCCATTTTGTGGACAAACATGTCGTCTTCTTTTATAGCGACGCATTTATTTTCGCATCCTAGAAAGTCATTGTTGAACTCCAGGACAAGAAACAGGAAGCAGAGATAAACTCTCCTTTGTTCAGTTGACTCCATAGAACTATAATAAAAATATTTTTTTAGTAGATTCATGGTTGACACTGCAGCAGAACTTCCAGGGCATATAAACCAGAGAGACGAAAATATCAAAATTAAAATAGACAGCGAAGCTGCTTTTTGATTGTTGTTATTTTAATTAAACTTTAAAATTAAATCGAGGTTGAAATCTGTTTTTTGTTTGACACTAAAACAAAATAATGAAATATCAAACTGTTTTCCCATTTTATTGTTTTTCAGTCTTAATTGAAATTCACAAGAACGAATGGTACACTGACCTGAAACATTCCAGACAAAGCGACAACATCTCCATGGAGAAAAGCATTTTACAGACCCTGCACCAGAAAAGTTACACAATGCACCTTTAACAGTTTAACCCTAACATTATGAATGCCAGTCTTTGTTATTATCTAATCGAATTTAAATTTCTGTGGTGCTTTTATACAGTAAATGTGAAAACAGGTGTTACCAAATATAGGCCATGATACTACTCTTTTCCAATCTATGGATCTATGGAACAGTCCCGCCCACTCTGGTTCCGGAAGTACATTTTCCATTCATATTCCCCATATATTTTTCACAAAATTCAAATATTACACTATTTTCTGATCTATTATATCACAGACATACCTGGAGTTGTGTTTTGTTTCATTCACACATGTTTGACACACAAATCCAGCATATTTAGGCTCCTTCTTGTAAACAAAAAATGCTCTATTCCACCTTGTGATGTCGTGCTAATGCAAGAAGTGCTGCACTGTGTTTTTATTAAACTCTATACAAATCCGTGTAACATTTGTTTTTCAATATAAAATCAAAAATAAGAAAACGAAAAAACTAAATTTTCTTAATTATTTGTCTCCAAAACTAAAATGAAAAAAACGGATAACGATTCGTTTTTTCATTTTTCGATTTTGTGTTTAAATGAATAATGGAAAATGGCTTCCCGTTTTCGTGATTTCAACTGCGATGCCAGACTTTTGAAAGTCTCAGTCCTAAGCCAGGACTAAATCAGGACTAAAACAGGACTGAACAGGTCTAAACCAGCTCTAAACCAGAACTGAACCAGGACTAAATGAGGTTTCAGTCCTGGTCTCAGTCCCAGTCTGGTCCCGTGTGAGTCCCGATCTCAGTCCCTGTCTCAGTCCTGGTCTGGTCCCAGTCTGGTCCTGGTTTCCTTATCACCCAACAGTCTATGCGGGCGCACGTCCTGGCCAGTCCCGACACTCCTGGTTCAATAATGGTTTAGTCCTGGTTCAGTTCTGGTTTAATCCTGGTTTAGTCCTGGTTTAGTCCTGGCTTAGGACTGAGACCAGGACCGGACAAAGACCAGGACCGGAACTGAGACTGGGACTGAGCTAGGACTGAGACCGGTTTAGACCTGGTTAGCTGGTTTAGAGCTGTTTTTTGGTTTTCAAGACAAATAATAAAGAAAATTGTTTTGTTTGTTTTTTTGTTTTCTTATTTTTGGTTTTATATTGAAAAACAAATTGGGATTCATATAACTTCATTAGAATCATTTGGATCATTTCAGCCCTGGAATTATCATTCTCTACTGAACAAAATGTAAAAGGTAGCTGTTAACTTCTACATGACATCACAAGGTGGAACACAGCATTATAAGCTTTGAAGATGTAGACAGACTAATAATAAAGGATTAGTCAAACATGAGTGAAACAAAACATAACTCCAGGTCTGTTTTGACCTTTAAGTGTACCTGGATGATGTTTTGTTTATTAATGGTCGGCGTGGCACGGAGAGGCTCCACTAGAGGGCGTTGAGTCACACCCGGACGACTGGACAGCCTGTTTCTCTGCACACACAAAAAAGTGACACAATCAGAACCAGCCAATGACATCAGTGAGAGTGGGGTCAGTGTGTTAGCCTGTCTCTGTACTGTACACGTCCGTCAGAAGGAGCCTCAGTGTTCTGGCCTATGAGCGCACAGCATGACATCAGCTCAACACAAAACTCAGAGGCAAATACGCACAGCCAAGTCATACAATACTATACAGGTGGGTACAATACAGTAGTAATAAAGTACAGTTGTATTTCACTAATCTCACATGTTTGCAGCTGTCTAAAAATATAATGGTTCCAGACCTAAGGATAATTTTAGTACATTTGTCATAGCCTGGATTTTTTTTTTTTAATTTTGCTATTAAAACTCCTCCTTTTACCCCCTAATGAAGTGTTATACGTCATTTTTTTTCAGTACAACCTGTTATTTCATAATCTGCTGCTGTAGTTGTGTCATGTGGCTCTAATAAAAGCTATAGGACCAGAAATACAAATGAAAACAAAACAAAAATAAATAAATCAATTTCACACTTTCACACAAAACACACAGCAAACGTGTATAAACAACTTTGTGGACATAAAAAGTGCTTAAATTAGGGCCTTAGCTACAGAAGTGCATAATATCAAGTCTGTAAGTAAACTAAAAATATACTTATTGCTTTTAAAAACAAACAAAGAGTGTGATTGCCCCACTACTTTTTCCTGCATTTCCATGGTGTTTATTACATTTATATTTGTACATTTTGACTGAAATAAACCTTAAAAACAGCAATGGATGCACAATTACACAGACCAAGATGCGTAATTTGCCATTTATTTGACAAATAACTGCACTTAGATCGTGTTTTTCAATTGTTACGAACACAGACGCTCAGAGCTGTCGATCATCTTGATTCATTACACTCTTTGGCAAAGTTTGGACCAATCAAAATGGATGAAGCGCATGCGTTTGGCGGAAAGCAATGTTCCTATTGGACGCTTGTTTTCCCATTGTCATAACGCAGCATGCGTATCATATACAATACCAGTCCGTCTGGAAGGGTTAAAAAGCTATACTGTGGAACATTCTAGGGAAAACAATAACAGCATATCCATGGAGAAATGCGGTTAGCAAACCTCTACCAGAAAAGGACCATTAAAGAACCTGTATCTGATTTTAATTTCTTTTTGACGAGATCAGTGGTGTTTACATCATATATTGTTTGGTAAATGAAAAAAGAAATGAGACTGCAAAATATTATCTATTCACTTTACACTGCATTTTTGGGGTAATAACAAATGAGGCTCCATACTTCTGCCCACTTTGAAGCCCAGTCTCATTCTTGAAGTAAAAATTCTATACTTTTTTTTCACGTAGACTTTTTGAAGATAAAATGTAATATTAAGAGTTGAAAGGCATCTCAGAGGCTAACCAGCTATATGTTAAATAATATCCATAGCGCTGTCATTTTAAATCCAAAAATCGCATTTAAAACACAGATTAATAACTTCATTTCAGTCATTTAGAAAGTTTCAGAGACAAATGTTATATAAAACGATAGGTCTTTAAGTCAAGAACTGATCACTGTGGCGCTCCATGCAGAAGTCATTGAGAGGGCCACTTGTTTTTTTCATACCATCTGCCTGACACTTTCCCACACACTTGATTCATGGTGCCTTTTCAAGAGCAACAAAAAAGCAAATAAAAAATAATAGGCTGAGATTGGAGCACTGTAAGGAAACAAATAGAGATGAGATTTTTTTTTTTTTTTTTTAATGCTTTTGTTTTTTTTCATGGTGGATGCTGATACTGATTGTTTTGAATTCAGAACAACTGATGCCCGATAAGCTCAGCCAATACTTTATTTGGATAATTTTCCACGAAAATAAATATTTTGAAAATAATACTAACATTTGTATGGACCAAGTGTTCATACTTTTTACTGCTCTGCATCATCAAACTATAATAAGGAAAGATCATCTCAATAGAAATTATTTTTAGACATCTAGAACTGTTTTTATTACTAGGCAATAAAGGAGCAGTGTAATCTGATTTTGTGAATCTCATCAACATTTGGATAATTTCAGCCCTGGAATTGCCAATCTCCATTAAACTAAGGGTAAAAGGAGCTGAAACCTTGAAAACTACTACTACTACTACTGAGCGTTTTGAGCTTTGACAATGTAGACAGACTCATAAAAAGAGTTCCTCAAACATGTGTGAATGAAACAAAACACAACTCCAGATATGTTTTTGCAGAGGCACCAACATTCTAACATGACTTAAAGCTCACAAGAGTCAATTTTGCGTAATATCAGACGTTTAAACACGATTTCACGTTTGACTGGAAATGTCAGCTTGTTTTACGTAAGGTGAAACTCCAGACGGTTTCTGAGAAGTGACAGGTGGTGGAGAATACAAAAAGGTGATCTTAACTTCCTGTACTTTTTCTCAGTCTGG